TATTTTTTACCCAAGGATTAACTGTAAGTCTGTCCACCAGGTCTGTTGTCTGCTCAGGTCTGCTCCCCTTAGTGTTATTTTATGCTCGTTTGTTTGTCTGTGCGTCTGTATCTGTCTCTCTCTCTCTCTCTCCTCTTTTCCCTGTAACTTTCCTCACCACTCTCTCCATAACTTACTTTCCCTCTTCTCTCACTCACTCTCCCTCTTCCCCTCCTCTCATCTCTTTCCCTCACTCTCCCACTCTTCTCCCTTTCCCTCACTCACCCACCCTCTTCCTCTCCTCTCCCTCTCGTAACTCACCTCCCCCTCTTCCCTCCGGTGACACGCTGGCCTCTACGTTTGCTCACTCACTCCGGAACTGAGGTGGAATCCCCTCTAGCCAGTGTTCGAATTCTTAAACTTTCGTACGTTCAAAAATTTCCCCCATTGAGGATAAAACAAACGTATCTAGTATAGTCACAGGTGTAATTTTGACGCCATTTTGTATCTCAGGTGTTGATTACAGGTGTGAGATGTTAATTAGTTGCGGATTTATACCTTTAATTAGAGTTACGTGAGTCATTCAGGTGAGTGTTACGTCTCCGTTTAAAAGGGGAATATGACGGATCAGCTGAAGGTTAGCGTTAGGGTAGGGTAGGTTAGGTTAGGTTAGGGTAGTGTTAGGTTAAGGTAGTGTTAGGTTAAGGTAGTGTTAGGTTAAGGTAGTGTTAGGTTAAGGGTGTTTAATCTTCAGGTGATCAAATTTATCATAGGAGCCTTGAGAATAACGTTTGTGGGAATTTACGATTTTTTGAGAATACATCTTTGTGTCGTAACTTATTCGAGGCTGTTTGGTTGGTTCTCACGTCAGCAGAAGTGTGTGAATTTTACTTCATATCCTTCCAGAATCCGTCTTTTTTTATGACCTTAAGATGAGGTAGTTAGATAAGTTCTCATTTATCATCTGATTTTAACTTACGATCATTTCAGAATCTTTGTGTTTGACCTTAAGTGAGGTACTTCAAAGTCTCATTTATCATCTGATTTTAACTAACGATCGTTTCAGAATCTATCGTAGTGTTTGACCTTCAGTGAGCCAGTTGTGACGACTTGAGTTGAGGTGAATATTGACGTAAGAACCTTTGAGAATTGTGGGCAGGACTCCCATAGTCATCAGAGCGCCACTCTCCCAGGGGAACGGTGTGGTGGTGAGTGGGATATTACTCTCTCTCTCTCTCTCTCTCTCCTTCTCTCACTTTCTCTTTCTCTCACTTTCTCACATTTGATGCTCACTGTTTCACCTTTTATCTCTCTCTGTATCTCTTTCTCGATTATTTTACTGCTCTATCTCTCTCTTTCAAGACGTTTAATCCGTCCGTCCTTCCTTCCTTCCTTCCTTCCCTCCCTCACTAGAAACTCTCTCCCTCCCCCTTTCTAAATTCTCACCCTTTCTCCCTCTCTTTAAGCTAATCTCATTCCCCCTCTCTCTCTCCCCCCCCTCAGCCCCAGCTCAACCATGGTTTCGCTCACGGCCCTCACATGTTGCATTTACCTGTGTGTGTGTGTGTGTGTGTGTGTGTGTGTGTGTGTGTGTGTGTGTGTGTGTGTGTGTGTAAATTTCTAAATACAAAAAAACTTCACCCCCCAAAAAATCCCACATATCTTAACATTTTATCCTCAAATAAAACAAATATAAAAAAAATCCCCCAAAACAGTGACACAAATCCTAAAATCCCTCACTTTATGAACCACAGCTTTATATGACTTTTATACCGGAAAAAAATCCCAACATGTGCCGTATACAAAACCAAACCTCCACGACAAACTGACACACACGACGGCTTTTATGTTCCAGTGTTATAAATTTCCCCCCCAAAATTGGACTCATTCACACGTAAATCCACAAATTGTCGTAACTTAGTCAAAAAAAGTGACGTAGGCGACTAACAAATTGACGTAGGCGACTAACAAAGTGACGTAGGCGACTAACAAAGTGACGTAGGCGACTAACAAAGTGACGTAGGCGACTAACAAAGTGACGTAGGCGACTATTTCAGGGGCGAGGAACTCTAGTAAACAGCTGCCACCATCAGTCCTCGCCTGTATAAATATGACCTTATACCAATTTTTCCAATCTTCGGAAGGTCCTAGTGCTGAGTTGGCTGTCTGTAGGGGTCACCATAGCTCCTTCTGCTACTTCTACTGCTACTGCTTCTTCTTCTTCTTGATCTTTACTACTACTATTATTATTATTATTTATTATTATTATTATTGTTGTTATTATTTTATTATTATTTCCTTCTTCTTAGACAGACAGACAGAGACACTGACCGCCAGAAAAGTTGATCAAGATGAAAGCGACATTAGAGGGGGGGGGGTGTAGAAGGGGGAGGTAAGGGGTGGAGAGGGGTAAGAGAAGTGAGGGTTTATGAAGGGGGAAACGACCTCGACGTCATTTTGCCCCCTAACAAAGGGTAGTCAGCGGTCCACCTCATTAAACAAAGGTGCAATCTGGTAAAACAAAAGATCTACTCTCTCTCTCTCTCTCTCTCTCTCTCTCTCTCTCTCTCTCTCTCGTGTGTGTGTGACAGAGCAGATTGCGTTGTGATGTATCTGTACGTATCTAAATGGACTTTTAACACACACACACACACACACACACACATACACGCACGCACACGCACACACTACCCTGAATATACTTATAATCCCTTAAAATCCTCAAACCAGATACCAACGGAACATATATCCTCCCTCTTCCTCCCTCAGTCAGGATTCGAACCAGGGATAAGTCTGTAACGCACGTCAGTTCCATAGCCACTCCGCCACGGCCTCGTCCCAATATTCGCGAGGGAAAAAAACTCGTACAGATCATCGATGGTGTTACCGGCAGATGGGCTAAAATATTACTCCGTTTGTTGACACTGTGTTTGGTGTTTGTTTACGTTTTAAGTGTGATGTTGACTGTGTTTGTTGTGTTTGTGTTTATGGCCGGGTGATATGGGTAGTGTTTTTCACGAGCTGTGTTTTTATATATGTGAAATTATTACTCACACACACACACTCACACACCTGGCCTCTCAAGGTGTCAGGTAACTCTCCCGGAGGTAATGTTTACGTGTGGCCTTGATAGTATTACTAGTAAATACTGGTGAGGAGGTCAGTAGTCTCTAGCCCGCCCTTAGCTGTGGTCTCTCTCTCTCTCTCTCTCTCTCTCTCTCTCTCTCTCTCTCTCTCTCGACTGTTTTGCGATGTTGTAGTCATTCGTCCTTTCCTGCTCTCCTCTCTTCATCAACAGTGTTCGACGTCAACTGATGTTCCTGTCACAGCTGCGTGGGAAGGGGTGAAAGGGTAGGAGGAAGGGTGTTGGAGGGTAAAGGGAGAGGAGGGAAGGGAGAAGGGGATGGGATGATGGGGGGTTGAATGATGGTCGCCCTCCCCACCAGCAATATATAGACATATAGCCATAGAGATAGACATGAATATAGACAGAGATGTGTGTGTGTACGTGTGTGTGTGTGTGTGATGGACGTTGTTCCTGGATCCAGAACAGAAATATGGAACACTAATTGCCGGTATTCTCTTGAGCCTTGCACTTGTATTTCTCCATTCCCCCACCCCCACCCCATCACCACAGGTAGCAGGTATTGGAATGTATAAACGATGAAAATTAGTACACATCACTTTTAAACTATATCTACTTATACTAAAGATCACTAATACTAATTTTGTTATGTTTGAGGAGAACGAATGGAAACGTGGTTATAGGGTGAAACAATACCCACGTGAGCTGAGAAGACCTATTCTCCTTATCAATACTAGACTTCTTTTTGATTTAGGGGGATGGAGCCCCTGTCACACTGAGGCCACACACAGGACACACCCACAGCCAAGTCCCAGAAGAGCACACACAGGGGACACACACAGGGGACACCACAGCCAAGTCCCAGAAGAGCACACAGGGGACACACACAGGGGGACACCAGACAGCCAAGTCCAGAAGAGCACACAGGGACACGCACAGGGGGCACCACAGCCAAGTCCCAGAAGAGCACACAGGGGGGCACCACAGCCAAGTCCCCCAGAAGAGCACAGGGGACACGCACAGGGGCACCACAGCCAAGTCCTGTAAGACACACAGGGGGCACCACAGCCAAGTCCCAGAAGAGCAGCACAGGGGGGCACCACAGCCAAGTCCCAGAAGAGCACATAGGGACACACACAGGCACACAAGTCCCAGAGGAGCACACAGGGACACACACAGGGGCACTACAGCCAAGTCCCAGAGGAGCAGCCACCACACCATCCTGTCGGCTTCCCACCATCCTTCGGGAGTGGCGACAGGGATGTTTCTGAATAGGAGTAAGAATCAGGGTTGCTGTGGCCCCTTGCTTTCTGCACTGCAAGCAGGGGGGGTAACGACTCCCGGAGGCCCTCAAATCGTGATATAATTGAGTTAGTAATGAAAATTTTCCTGTAAAATTTCTTGAGTAAAACATTTTCCTTCGTTTTAGATTCCAAGGTTTGTAAACACTGCCCGGTAGAGTTTGATGTTTACAGACGATATCTTGTAAAAATGCTGGATAATACCTCGTAGGGTAATACCTCGTAGGGTAATACCTCGTAGGGTAATACCTCGTGGGGTAATACCTCGTGGGGTAATACCTCGTAGGGTAATGCCTCGTAGGGTAATACCTCGTAGGGTAATACCTCGTAGGGTAATACCTCGTAGGGTAATGCCTCGTAGGGTAATACCTCGTAGGGTAATACCTCGTAGGGTAATACCTCGTAGGGTAATACCTCGTGGGGTAATACCTCGTAGGGTAATACCTCGTAGGGTTATTATCTAGCATTTTTACAAGATATTTATTTTGTTATTTATTCTGGGTTCTGCATCCCGTAGTGGCCTTGGGAGCGTGTGAGGGAGGGAGGGTGTAGTAGTAGTATAGTAGCAAGGAGGAGGAGGAGGAGGGGGGATGATCAGGTGCGAGTGTCAGTGGAGAGTCAGTCGTGCTGTGGCCGTTGGAGAGGGAGGTACTACGGCTGCTGTCTCCCCAAGCCGCCAGTGAACCTCCACCACTTCATATCGAATTTCGCCCGTGGTGGCAATTATACACGGTCTTGAAACCCAACTCTTGTGTTTCTTTAGTGTTGTGCTTGTGAGCCGCCCCTGAAATGTACGTGTTGTGTTGATGTTGGAATACGGGAAATTGAATGTATGTCGGTGGTACCTACAAGTGGGGAGGAGGCATATTAAGCTTAGTGGCTTCATCTCGCGGATATGTGAGAAGCTTTAAAACGTATACAGTATGTTGGTGAAGAAGACCCCTCAGGATAATACTGCCAGGACACACAACACGTCAGGTCAGCAGCACACGAGGAAGACGGAAACTAGCGGCAAGATGCAAATAGCACAGTAAGTAACCAACTGACTCACGTTGTCCAGTGTTAAAGGAAATGTCGTAATGTTCTTTGTGTCCCTCCCCCTCCCCCCCTCCCCGTTAGGTTCTGGGTTAATGTTATGTTGACAGTTTGATATTAGCTTAAACTTACGGTCAATTAAGGTTGAACTTTGCTCTAACTAAAATTCATCGTGTTGGTTGAACTTGTAAGGTAAAAAAGGCCTATGGTGTAAAATAGGCCTATGGTGAGAACTTTTGTTTTGGTGTTCTAGGTTGAAGGGCACTTCTAGTTTAAAACTTAATCGTGATGACTAGAAACTTTATATAGAGGTTGAACTTGATAGGTAAAATAGGCCTATGATGTAAAATAGGTCTGGTGTGAAATAGGCCTATGGTAAAAATATTGTGTTGATGTGTTCTGAGTATAAACGTATGGGATATAATGTGGTAACTGGAAGCGATATTTGAAGGTTGAACTTGAAAGGGAAAATAGGCCTATGGTAATTTTTTTTTGTTAGTTTAAGTTGGTTAGTGTTAGGTTGAATTAGGGTAGAGTGAATTAGAATACCTTGGGTTAGCTTGAGTTGAGTTAGGTTAAGTTAGATTAGGTTAGATTAGTGTTAAATTAGGATAGGTTGAGTTAGGTTAGTTGTCGTTTAGCAGATTAACTTACTCTACATGTTATGATAGGTAAATAAAACGACAAATTCCCCATTGACTCGTTCTTGGTTAGGATAGGTTAGGTTAGGTTAGGTTAGGTTAGGTTAGGTTAGATTTGGTTAGGTTTGGTTTGGTTAGGTTAGGTTAGGCTAGGCTAGGCTAGGTTAGGTTAGGTTTGGTTAGGTTAGGTTTCGTTAGGTTAGGTTAGGTTAGGTTAGGTTTGGTTAGGTTAGGTTTGGTTAGGTTAGGTTCGGTTTGGTTAGGTTAGGTTTGGTTAGGTTAGGTTAGGTTAAGTTAGGTTAGGGTTAAGTTAAGTCAATAAGTGTTGAGGAGAAGTAAGGAGTTATCAGAACACTTAACTAATTAAAACTCGACGGCTGGAGCGGATGGCTAATAGATGCTGTTGGTAGATTGAATATATAATAGCAGCCACGTGTAATTAGTTTGAGGATCACCTGAAGATTAGCACACCCCTTTACTCTCTCTCTCTCTCTCTCTCTCTCTCTCTCTCTCTCTCTCTCTCTCTCTCTCTCGTTCTTCTTCTGTCCTTCTTTTCGTCTTTCTATCTTCTTTTTTTATTCTTATTCTTCTTGTTCATTTTCTTGTTCTTTTTCTTCTTGTTCTTTTCTTCTTGTTCTTTTCTTCTTCGTTTCTTCTTGTTCTTTTTCTTCTTCTTTCTATCTACTTCTTCTTTCTTCCTTCTTCTTCACCACATAATTTCTGGTTGAGGAAAAGTAAAACACGATTCTTGGTTACACCAGACCCGACGCGACACCAGACCCGACGCGACACCAGACCCGACGCGACACCAGACCCGACACACAGGCGGTTAAGACAAGAACATACACAGATTTATTCACATTAACTAATTAAAATATAATAAACCAGAAGTAATTAATCAAGAAGCGTCAAGAGAGTTAAAAAAAAAATAATAAATTTCCCTGAGCTGAAATATTTCTTGTTTTATATAATTTAGTAATGGTCATTCGTGTTCCAGTTTAGATTTCGTGTTTATAAGGGAGATATTTATATAATTCGCTTCGTTATTACAATGTGTATTAACTCACAATCAGGAGTAATTTATGTCATTAACTTCAGTGTGTGTTTATAACTGGTCAATGTTTAAAAGTTACTACGGACAGGGTTGGTCAATAAACTGGTCAGTGTTTAAAAGTTACCACGAACAGGGTTGGTCAATAAACTGGTCAGGTGAAATAAACTAGTGTCTAATCCCCAGGTGTTATGAAGGCAACGGCATATGTCGTCTTAATCCCACTGGACAAACTCCCCCCACCTACAAAATCCCACAATATAATCCCACCATATCTACTCTCCACGTGTTTAGGGGGATTGTTATGTGTGTGTGGGGATTTTGTGTGTGTTAGGAGAGTTGCTACACACACATGTAAACAATTCTCTGCCTGTGTGAATCTCGGCTTTCAAGTTATAATTGACGTTGTAGTAGTGGTAGTGCTTGTAGGGAGAGAGGGAGTGAGGAGAGGGCCCACGGTTCACAATTATCTTGACGCTGTTGAAAGTTAGTTGGATTTGTGTTGCTCCTCCCTCCTTGATCTTGCAGGTTTGGGGAGGAATTTATGGCATGACCTGGTAAGCATGTTAGAAGGTGGTGGCTCTACCTCTCAAACGCCACACCATGGAAGGGGTGGCCAAGGAGACAGTGTGTGTGTGTGTGTGTGTGTGTGTGTGTGTGTGTGTGTGTGAACGCTGGTATCGAACTAAGAATTTAAACCTATATACTTCAACTACAGACAGAAAGACAGACAGACTACCCTCTTCTGTTCAGTTGCACCTGGGAGGCATCTAAGATTTATACACTGATCTGCAATTGCAACCGGAACCCTGGGTGGGGGAGGAGTGGGCGTGGTTGGTGAGGAGGGGGGGAGAAGGGACGGGAGACAGAGGGGGGGAGAGAAGGGGGGGAGATGAGGGAGGGGGGGGCGGCTGCAGATGGGTGGAACAGTGTCGAGTTCGGAAATACGAGACGAGATGTTGGCATTCCAGGAATTTATTGTTTATGTATGTCTTTATTTATTTATTTATTTGTGTATTTGTTTGGAATCGGGTTCAGTGTAATTGCCGAGTCAAAATTTAATCTGTGTTGTTTTATGTTTTGGGGGAAATTGTTTTTGATATTATTTATTATATGTAGAATAGGGTCTAAAAATGTCTTATAGGTAAAAATAGGGATCAATAATGTTTTCTTATAGGTAAAATAGGATTCAATATTATTTCTTGTATGTAAAATAGGGATAAACAATATTTTTTATAATCAAAATAGGGTAAAAAAAACATTGATTACAGTGAAAATAGGATTCGAGTATTTGATTTGATGTCGAAATTGATGTTTAAAATATTTCCTTCCCGAGTCCAAGTTGGTTCAGGTAAATTGTTTCGTCAAAATTGTGTGTAAAATCATTGTTATCTGATATAATAGGACCCAAAACTATTTTTACATTGGAATTGGACGCCACGGTAGTGTTATCGGGATAAATTGGATCCGGTACCATTGTTCGCAGTTAAAATTGGATCTTTTGTTTTTGTTTGGGTGGGAATTGAGACGTTATTATCGCTCACGGCGGATATTGTTAGGTTCAGTATTCTTGTTTCCAGCAAAAATCCGGTTTGTTTGTGTGCAATTAATACCTGTTTGTTACCTGTAGTCTAATGAGGGTTGTTTTTATGACCTTCCCCCATGACCTATGTACACACACACACAAGGCCACACACACACAAATGCCTTGACCTTCTGTAATTTACTGTTTCTTTAAATTGTTAATAAATCGTTCGTATAGTTTAAATAGAAATGTGTATTAAAATGTGTGTGTGTGTGTGTGTGTGTGTGTGTGTGTGTGTGTGTGTGTGTGTGCGCGTGTGTGTGTGTGTGTGTGTGTGTGTGTGTGGTAGGTGTGTGTGTGGTCAAGGCCACCAAAGTGGCTGACTGCACACCTGCTACACTGACACCTGTATGCACACAAACACACACACCTCATAATTCTCCTCCTCCTCCCTCCTCCTCCTCCACGGCCTACCCCCTCCCACCCCCGCCCCCAAACTCTCACCTTCTATCCCCTCCCCCCTACCCCAACCTTCCCCCCTCTTCCTTCAATCCTTCCACTCTACCCCACTTTCAGCTCTTTGCTCTCCCTCCCCTTCCCTCCTTCTTACTCTCCATCCCACCTCCTACACTCACTCTATCTCCACTGTTTCTCTACTTCTCTCCTCTCCCCCTCCTTTTCTACTCTCTCCTTCTTCCTCTGTACCACCCCCACTCTCCTTCCGCCATAACCCTAAGATGAGGATAACTGGATTTGTCTTTTATCTGTTTTATTCAACTGTGACGATTATTCTCTCTGTCTCAAAGAGAGGGAAGTAACTCAGTGTATTGACCCGCAAAAGCAGCATAGCCTCCAACCCCAAGGCGTATATCGCTCATTAAAGTCGCTCATACAATGTATTGCCATCGAATAATTCGCACAAGTCGTATGTATTAGTTGTTTTTAACCCTGTATTGTATATACCTGTGTAGGAATTCATGACTATGGACCACTTTAGGTCAGGTGAGGTCAGGTTAGGTGAGGTTAGGGCAGTTATAGCTGGACCATAGCACTGACGTCGGCAAACAATATATAAGTCTCAGTTTGCATCATTGTTTACATCCGAGCTCATGCCTTCGTATGAGTAGGGCATACATACATACATACATACATACATACATACATACATACATCGTCCAATATTAATACAGAAAACATGAGGCCAAAAACATCGGTAAACATCGTATCTTATCAGTAGGTGGGAATGTTTACACAGAGACGCGTGCCACCGTACTCAGGGGAGATTGTTGACGAACCCTGTGTGTTGTGCTGTGCCCGTGGAGGAGGAGGAGGAGGAGGAGGTGTTGCTAGGAGGAGGAGGAGGTGTTGGGTGGAGGAGGTGCTGGCAAGGGGAGGTGCTGGATGAAGGGGGAAGAAATGTGTCATCTACTTAACATTTATGTCGCTCTTGTGTTAATGACGTCATCACAAAACTCTGTGTATGTGTGTGTGTGTACTGCAGGCATTATCTGTCTACATTAAATCAGGAGTCTGGAGATGAACGACAGGCACTCAAGATCGCTCGTGTTGGCGTTGTTGACATAGCGATGCAGTCATAACAGAGATGATTCTTATCTCGCTATCGTCTCTCAACGTCCCAGGATCCGTCGAGGGAGATAATGAGGCAAGATCTCTGGGAAATTACACCATATCAGGGAATTTAATGAGGCCTAAGACTATTTTTTTCCCCCCAGAGCCAAACTAATACCCGGAACTAGACCCATTTTTTCCCCTAGAGC